GGAAAATTGCTTACGCGTCATATGGTCTGAGGACATGTTGATAATTTCCATTCTACTTAGCTTTACCAACTGTAATATTGATCGTATCTGTCGAGTCGTCTATTGAATGGGATTTACTCGTTTCGAGCAGCCTTCTAGACGTCTGGCGTGTCGCCAAAGTTTATGTTTTTTGTTTAACTGTTCGAGTTTCTCTTTGAGACGTTCTGCAAGACGTTTCTGTGTTCATGATGATCAACTACCATTAAGTCTAACTGACTCTGCGTGATGCATCGGCCTAGATTGAATTTCCTTATTCGTTCTATTTAATTTGTCTCTTGCAGGAAAATCCCCATTGCAAAATACGACCTCGAATTAACTACGCACTCTTATGAACTCCTTTCTGGAAGAAATCCTCGATATATCACGACCATATTTGTATTCCGTGCAGTTCTGAATAATACCTCTACCACATAACATACAATACACATTCCTATAGCAGAAGCTTGGAAAAGCGAGAACTAATCCGATTGAAATGCGAGTTATTACCTACTGTTGAAACGAAGCTTTTCTTTGCCTTTGCCTCGAAATCCTCTGTCTAGAAATCGAAATTCATCATATCACTTCCAGGAAAAAAAATGAACACAACGGTATGTGGCAAAATGACTACGCCCAGAAATTACCGCAAGGACCACGTCTGCTTCTTCCCCATCTGTTTTTTCTGCCTCTACGAGAAAGATTGCCGCTGCGCTGCGTCGTTTGATGCAGATGGTCTAATTCTGTATTGTTTTTTCCCTCTCTCGTCCTTTGCTTTCGTCATCTGGTCCTATTACCTCGCTTCTGGGTCGTCTCCCGCTCAACAGCACTGAATTGTCGTGACCGGCTGGCCTCGATCAAAGGAGACAAACTTTATTCATCTAGAATAGCTATCTGTTTGGCTGATTGGCTCAGAACCAACCACAAGCATGACGAGGTCTGGTTCCCGAAACAGTGCACGATCTTCCACCGAAACATACACACGTAGACGCTCAAACACCAAACTCCACTACTGCTAATAATAATCATAATAGACAAAACAATGCGGACGGCTTGCAAATGTGACTGTAATTGTTAGTGAACTGCTAAGATTCGTTGCGTTGCCATAGCTCATAAATTCTTATAACGACATTTTGAAACTATATTGCAGACGGGTACATATCTGCAAATTCAAAGGAAAAAAAGAAAGCTGAACATCGGGATGGCTGACTCGTCAGTTGGGGGTAGATTCTCCCGTGTCTTCCAGTATATCTTTCAGTAATATCTACAAAACCAAAATCTTCGTATCACTTTTTTTTATTAACATTTTATGTTTGAGTTTAGATTAATCTCTGACACATTGATATCTTTTTAGGAAGCTTTAGAAGCTTCATTATGACAACGGCCCAAATCATAGATTGATCATTTAGATGGGGGTTCGATACGTGTGAAAACATTGGCCAACAGCTAATTTTCGATCACACGTCAAAGGCGTACCTTCTCTCCTGTCTACGTTACTTTGTGACACAAAGCACAGCTGATCTGACAGCAAGATAACGTGCCCGTTACGACAAGCCGCTCGTCAAAATGTATTTGCCTAATTTTATATTTTATATATATATTATATAATATTGCCTAAATTTGATAGCCGTAAATTGCGTGATTACCTTATTTTCACGTTAATGATCGTGTAATCCGTAACGTAAAATTATTACCACAAATTTTAACTGTTGTTGGGATTTCACTTCGCAATATTATACAATGTAATTTTAAAGAATGACTAATATGTCATTATATCGAATTGTCGGAATAGTATTCATCACAAAAAAAAAAAAGATTATTTTATATTTTTTTGAAATGGCACTACTGAGCTGAATACGTGTCATCTTGATCGCGTCTGGGAGTTTCTGGAAGAAAAATTGTGGCTTTTGCATCACTTCACTGCAACTAAATTACAGGGAGTTTTGCAGAGACTGAAACAGATAAAAGTCCGATGATACAAATACGGGCTACACTGTTAATGCATTGAAATCTCCCATGTAAATCTCTTCGCTCAACTTTTTCCCGGTGGCTAAAAATATATGGAATCGGGCACTGTCACGGTGGAAAACGACGCTACGTCTGTTCACAAGTTTGGGTTATTTTTTTCAGTAGCTTGTAGAGTAAGCTGGTTAGCTTCTGGTAGACAGGACCCAAATTAGTCGTTTGGCTTTTCCGATCCCATCTGTTACATAGCACCTCTTTGTTTGGGTCAGTCTGGGTCTTAGCACATATGGGGGGGGTCTTCTCTTGCATTGGCCACGCATGTCTTTCGCCTATGGTTTTCGTAAAAGGTTCCATCGCCGTCATCGAACGCTTTGAAATTTCGTTATGCTTCTCTAGAGTTTCGCAGATAGAAATATAGTCGAGTTTTGTTTCCATTCGAAGTGCGGTAAAAATACCCGCCTTTTTTGTAGCCAAATTTCTTCGAATGGTTCGAGACTGTGATACGTGGCCTTGAAGCCATCTAGCTCAAAAAATGACCAATACCCTTTTTGATAGCCCTATAAAATGCTCTATATCTTTGGAACTATTCGATATCTGTAATTAGCGTCTCCAGCGTATTGAACGTATTTATTTTAGGGTCCGTTGTAGTCACTAGCTTGTATGATATGTAAATGGCAATGTAATAAAGTATACAGGTCTAAATTCAAGGTCTTCTACATTTACCAATCGTACTCAATATAAAATTTGGAACGTTTCAGCGCTGTATATTATAGGGAGGCGTCCGATAAACACGAGAAGCTGTTTCATTGAACTGTTTTTTAGCTCTCGCCATTTGTTCAAACCCCCGGGCTGACTTCATCTCAACGTAAATAGATTTAGTACGTGCGTATTCTGTACAGGTCTCGTGTCTAGGTTATCTTTCTCCGTACTCGTTTTAGAGTTAAGATGTACGCAGTAATCATTCTCAGCAGCGGAAGCTCGTCTGAATGATCTCTAGATGACTTAATTTTTCGATTTGTTCACAGCGGGTTAATCAGTCGTCGTGATGTGCTTTTGGCTCAATGGATCACATTAACCAATAGCTTCCAAACATTTTAACAGTTATATGATGTTCTATACATAACAAAGGCAAAATTGATCAGACAGGTGATTGCATAACATAATTTTAGGAAGATGCTTCTACCTGAATATAATAAGTACACAAAAGTAACGGAAACTCGTACAGCGCTAGGCCGACGCACAAGGAGTTCAAAGAAAACGACCTCAATATCCCCAAAGAACACGCTAGTAAATACTTTAGAGCTATGGATTAGGGAACTTCGGTGAAGTAGAAAATCTGATTTCTAAATATTTAATCGTATTCGTCTTGTGTCTGGACTGTTTTCGATTAATTCAGACGGCCGTACTAATACGCTCATAACTGTCAAAAGGCAGAGTGGTGATTTTTCGATCTAGAAAATGGAAACTGAAGTTAGCGACGCTACTAATTTTTAGTTAATAACAGGGCAGGTTTTACAATTGTGACACAAGCAGACGATGCGATATGTAAAATACAAAAAGATAGATAAGTGACCGTATATTATGGTCTACTGTGCTTCGGTAAAGCCGCAAACCCATCGTTGAGCGTTTGCGAATGCTGGTAAATTCGATTCGACACAAGCAAGATACTGCTGAAGCACCCGTAAAAGCGCGTACATTTATATATGGATGAACCTGTTTATAAAAAAAAAACAACACATTAAATAACAATATCACGATAGATGTTCCTTACGAAAATGCATTGTGCAGTTATGAGCAGTTAAATAAGTACAAACTTACTACGGGAAAGTTGAAATCTAATCAAAGTTGACAACGGGATCCAAAGGTGGACTGACGCTTCTTTTAGGACAACTGAAATTTTATTTCTTTCAATCGGGCCTATCACGTTCTATTATACACAATTAGCATTAGCTAAATAAGCTTATCGTTAAAATTGACTTTAGAATCTTTTTCTTCGTCTCTCATAGAGTGACAGCATTAGCTAGTGCGTTTTATTTCGATGAAAGGAAATCGAACGAAAGGCCGCTCAGAATGTTCTATTAGTGCTTATCGTGAGCGATGATAGCGCCGAGCGGTTCCTGGCGCCATTACGGGTAAAAGAATGGTTACGGCAGGTGGTCAGTGAGGGCAGCAGTAATCTTCTCGAAGTAGAGGCAGCATAAAAAAAAAACAGCTAGGAAAGCCTCTGCTGGCCAAACCAGTGTTGCCTCTAGTTCTAGCTAACGAAGGGCTTTGTTTTTATTGTTTATTAGTAGGGAATGTTTCGACAACGGTGTACAGCTAAATGCGTTTTTCGATTGTCGACCAACTTTTGAAGTTCAATCTATTTAAGATAGTTCTTGCGTTCCGTTTGCCCCTGTCAGTATCCATAGTCTACGATTAACTCAGGGAAGTGTTTATCTTAGTCAGATATTTTCACCTGTTGCCATTCCTACAATTCAACAATACCTTACAGAGAAAACAATGGAACTTAACGTTCGTCTTAACGTAGTTTTTTTTAGAGTTACAGTCGGGCTTAGAGATATCCGCTAATGAACATGTTGGCTCGAGCTGCGCTTTACTTCTTCTTCGTAAAGGCAAAACTCCAAGAAACCAAAGTGCTACGCTTTGTAGCTACATATATTGCCTTGTAACACTAATAACAGATGAAATGTCCTTTAGTATTATTTAAGTAGCGTATGTAAATAGGACAACAAAATGCACCCTCTCATACAATATTCAAGGGGCACGAAGCGCGCTAGAGAGAAATGCACGAATCACCATGCAACAGCAGAAACGATTCGAAAATTCTTATTCAATTAAATAAAAGTCACTATAAGGATGCTGCATCGTTAATGGTGACTGTTCGCATACTGTCGCATAAGTGACCACATAATTGTTGAACTTACCGGCAAAACTTATCAGACGTATAGATATCTAGACACACACACTATTCGATTAGCTGTTAAACCTATTAAAATACATTCAATGACGTTCTTTCACAGATCGTTGCTGAATCACTGAAAAGCTTCTGCAGAACGAAACAAAACAGAGTTCATCGTAGACGCGTGGCAACGCGACAACGCGATGAAGTACACGCGTTTAACGGCAGACGTGGAGCGCTTTGGAGTAAGCGGTTATGGGCGATGTTTACAACCTCGAAACTTTCTGACGACACTTGGAGCTGGTGCGTGTAATTATTGTTTTAGTTGCCTAAGCTCAAAATATTACCAAAATAAGCTCAAGATATTCCACGCGAGTTAGCTGTGGAATTAATGATTGTCATAGCAATACCGGTCGTTGCTGACAGGACGCGAGCTGAGACACAGAGCTTCCGGCGCGCCAATTTCCGGATTGCCCTCTAATAGGCTCAGGCCTATTGTCTACGCAAAAATTTATTTATCAAAGCTAATTCATCTTTCAATTAAGACATAATGATACGTTGCCAATTTTTTTTTACTAGTGCTCTTTTTTTATTGTCAGATATTCACCAGTACGTGGTTTGATGATCACAAGTGAGGTTCGTCAAAGCAACTGACAAAGTTGACATTGGCTAGCAGTATAAAACTTAACTCGTAGGGAAACAAGACTTTTTATATAAAAAAAGTTGAAATTCCTTTAACAAGCCCAGTTCGTGGATATGCGCCTTGCTTGTATCGCTAATATGCAGAACAGAGAAATATAGAGAAATAATTGGCTAGTTATTTAAATCAAGCAGCAGATAAGTATTCGTAAGTTTAAGTTCGAACTTTCTGGCGTCGTTCACACCGCCTTTATAGCAACTGTCATTTAGCCGAGCCAGCCCTCGGTGGATCTATCTTCACTGAGCCAATATATAAAATATACTTTGTTCACTGAGAACCGATTTTTAACGAGCTTTTTTCTCGTCAAATCATTTATTTTAGAATTTGGAGAAAGCTCCAAGAGACAACGAATGTTGTCACTGAATAACCCTGAGAATTACTCACACTCCGCTGGCTGTTGTCATGACTGGTCTCTAGAGTAGTCGATTGTTTGTCATACCTTTGCGTAACGTTTTCTCAAAGCGTTAATGACTCTGCGATAAAAGTAGCAACGTTTAACCACAAAAATTAAAATGCTTAAATACAGTGAATTGCCTAGCAAGTAACTGAAGTGACTATATATATATATATATATATATATATGAATATATATATATAGAGAGAGAGAGAGAGTCACTTAAATGTGCGAATATATTTTTGCTCATTTTTAGCGGAATTTTTCAAATCGGACACTTTACAACATAGTTTTCTTGAAAAAAATGAACGACTTTTTGTGCTTGTTCCCTGGCAGGCCGTTTCTCCATCGGCTTTTCTGCATAATCGGATTTCTTATCGTGTGATGTAACATCGGGGAAGGCCTTCAAATATGTTTTGGCGTTGCCAGAGGGTTCAAAATGAAACTGGCCTACTCTGACCGCTTTTTACAATTTGTAGTAGATTATATGTTTACATTCCATGTTTGTTAAATTATTTTGAATAGGCCAATCTCGTTTTGAGATCTTCACGAACGCCCTGCGTATTTCGATACTTAATTGAAGAAAACTTTCCTTTATATAACATTGCAATAATTTCCACTAACCCTAGGCATAGGAAACCTCTGCATACACATATCTGTATTTACAAAAAAAAAAGCTGACCTGGGATCATTTACCTGTTTGCAGGTATACTTTTCGGTTTCGGTACAGCGTATATTGCGCTATGCGTGGTAAGTCTGCGTCCGTTAAGTCCGCCCGTACTTGGATCGTTGGATCCTGCAGCTGGTGGTGGGATAGGTGGCGCCGAAGTATCGGCCACTGTCTCCTCACGCCGATCACTCCTTTATCCGCGTTCTGTCTATCAACACATTTCAGACCCGCATTCGGGGCATTCGATAGTGCTAGATGAAGATGCACCGGAGTCACCAGTTAGCTTCCATGAACATCGAGGTAACCGTGCGGTCGAACTAGCTAGATAGTAAACACACATTAAGAGACAAACATGCGGAGGATCGATCTTGTTGTTGTTTTGATCATTCTATTGTCATTACGCTGACCTACTATATTCAGGCCTCACTTGATGCAAGATGCTTTTCGACGAGCTAGGACTTTCTCGCCTTCCATCATCAACTTGCTCAGCGTACAACAAACGTCCTATTCATCCATAAAACATTTAATTCTCCAAGTGTTTTTTCAAGCTCTATGTTATTGAACGTATAAAGGTTCTTGAAGACTATCTTCATGAGACTTGATTTCGGATTAACTGCCTCCGTTGTTGGTACTGAACGACTTGCAATGATCGTACCTTCTGAGATTGGGAGGGTATCCGCATATGTAATTGCGTCGACCTATAGAATAAGGGGATTCGATTGCTTTTAGACTGTTCATTATGTAAACTGAAGGTCACTAGAATGTTGCACGCTGAACAAAATGAACTAAGTTTGTCAACGTATTGGAGACAAGACTGATATCCCACTGTTTACGTTTTGTTATTTGGCTATAGATAACTGGAACCCACTTTTTTTTTGTAATCGCGAGTACGTTATGTTGATGTGTGCACGTCTGCAGATTCTGCCCACGATACGGTGGCGCGTGAACTGGCTAAACGAGTTCGATTACTTTGCTTCATTCTAACGTCACCAAATACCCATGCAACAAAGGCGGCCCACGTGAAAGCGACCTGGGGTCGGCGCTGCGATCGGCTTCTATTTATGAGTTCTGTCAAGGACGATAATCTCCCTTCCGTGGCACTACCAGTTGGTCAAGAAGACCGAGATCACCTTTGGGAAAAAACCAAGTTGGCGTTCTCGGAGGTCTGTATAGTTATATAGGTTTGCTATATGGGTCAACTCGACTATAAATAGCTTGAACAGTTGGTAAAATAGAGCTAATACTGCCACATTGAAGATATAGCTTATTTCACTCTTAGCCAAAGCGTTGCCACCCTTGAGCTTTATTGTGGCTCGATGTATTTCTTTTAGCTTGCATTACATCCTACGACTAAACACAGTTCTCTGATTCTATGATTGATTAATGCCAAAAATAATATCAACTACAAATTAAATCAAGCTTACTAGTATGCTATATAGGTTTTTTACGTACTGTTTTTGACGTACCGACTTAAACTTGCTAGTTAGTGGACGTACTATTTAGGCTGCACAAGTGAAAACTGAAAGGGAAACTGCGCGCCACTGCACTAACGAGTACCTGCCGGGCAGAACCATGTATTTTAGATTGGTTTATTTTGAAAATTGCGCCACAATGGAGTAGCAAGTATAGTTCCTGTGATATGAATACCTTCACTGGTTTAACGGTGACGATGATGTCATTTTATCGATTATCGTAACAGATATATGAACATCATTTAGAATCAGCCGACTGGTTCCTGAAAGCGGACGATGATACTTATGTCGTCATTGAAAATCTACGCTACTTCCTTAGCGCACATGACGCATCGGAACCAATCTACTTCGGGCATAAGTTTAAACCCTACGTAAAGCAGGGTTACATGAGCGGAGGGGCAGGATACGTGATGTCTAAAGAGGCCGTCCGAAGGTAATAATAATAAGAACAGTAATATCAATGTAACGAAGTATCAATAACGTTATAGTATCTCTACCTAAACATCGATAAATAAATAGCCTTATGTTGAACTCTTAAATCATCGTATTCTACCAGTCGCGTAATCTACAAATATCTAAATCAGTCGGGCCAAACATTGCGATGAATGGTCTGCGGCTTTTACAAGAAAAAACAGCATAACTTTTTTTTTTTTGTTTCTGTGCTTCGCGAACGTGCTGGGGTTAGGTTATAGGCGAATTTCGCTAACTAATGAATATAGAGGCTTCAAATAGCAGGCTTCTATGTATATATAGTAGATCAGTGTGAAAAACTGAAATGAAGTTTAACTTGAAAATTTCGTTGACATTGAGACCAGATCAAATTCAACGGGTAGCTAATTACACGCGATAATTTGAAAAAACGCGCGTCGAATTGCGCAACTGTCTGCGTTCTACGCTCTTGACAATGGTAAACTCTGCGCTGAATAGCTCAGATAGAATCCAATAGAAGAAGGGAAAAAATGTTGTCCTCTAAATTTAGCGTCTTATCTTAAGTTTCATTCCGGCGCATTGAGCCAAAAGCAATAGGTAACATTGCAAAGACGAGAAACGCAGAGATAAATGAAATCCTATACGCTGACTTTATATGATATATGTTTTTAGTGCTATGCAAAGGAAGAGATGGCAAATATAAGCTGATCTCCGACGGATACAGATGGGCTATCAATACATTAGACGAAGCACAGGTGGGTTGGGTGAAAGGGCACGGTAGAGTTCGTATTGATTTACTACTCGAACTAGCTTGGCGGTTCTCTCTCGTATCTCTCTATTTGATCGAAATGACAACTCGAAAAATCGCCGCGAGTAGTTGAAGAGCAGCGGAATAGTTAAACTGACGGCACAACTGATAGGATAATACAACTAACCAGACAGACTCGCTCAGCCGGCCAGATAGGGTATAGCGCCCATTAGGTACGTCGCTTGATCTGCCAGCTGGGCATTCAGCCCCCGCCATGATGCTACTGCGATAGGGTTTCTATCTGCGGCTGGCACCCTAATGATCGGTTCCGGCGACCTATTCACCCACCAATTGCCGATAGTATATATACGAATCGCATAAAAATATCGTCATTTGTTATAGTCGCAAAAAGCATTGCCTTTCTTTTGGCTGATGTTTTCTCTATAGGTGAACAATTTGTCGTATAGTTAATCCGGCAAACGTGCTTTTCTTCAGCTTCTTCAGAAATTTTTCTGTTCTAACCGCTTACAGAAATAGTACCCTTTAACGGAGCAAGCGATACGATATGCACCATCATCTGATATTGTAACAGTTTAAACAAATGAGATACATCTCATCTCACATTTTCTGCCAAACGAAAAGAATATTCTTACAATTTTTTCTTCTTCTAGTTAACTCCTGTTTTTTTTTTCAATTTCAAAAATAGAAAGGAAATAACTAAATATGATGCTAATTAGCCTAGCACACGTTAAAACACGCTGGCCGTCTTTCGCGTTGAAGTAATCGTCACCACATTATTGAGGACATTATCTTGACGACTGAAATTCATTTTCTTCTCAGTTTGCTTGTATTGCTCCGTTAGAACTACTTCTAATCATTGTCCCGAACCGATTCTTTGATCGTATGACAACAAGCGAGCAACTATTAGGCTTTATAAGCATATACGTATGTATAGTGTACACCCGTCATGTTATAACGAGTGATGTCATGGTCGATTTTTGAAGGTTCATCGAGTTTGGTATCCGCTCGAACCAAACAAAATGTCGACGCGACCACAACGGTGCGGAAGACGTAGAGCTCGGGAAGTGTTTAGCGGATGTAGGCGTCGACGCGGGCGATTCACGTGACGCTGGGGGCAGAGGCAGATTTTTCCCGCTCACACCTGAGGCTCATCTCATCCCGGGTCATATGCCACCCGACTTCTGGTTTTGGAACTATACCTACTACCCAATGAAAAGCGTAAGTGGCTTACAAGTTACTGAAGATCATATGGCGTGTATATGTATATCACTGCGTATATATAGGTTTCTAGCTTAAATAGCTACAAATTACCCGAAGAATATGAGGCATACATGTCTCAAGGAAATATTCTCCCTAAAAAAACATTCGCTTCCTTCAGTTCTCGTTTAATTATGCACTCGTCTCAAAGGTTTTTCGTCTAATCATGAACATTATTACTCATTAGAAACACTAAATATATTCGCTTGGCACAATACATTATTGGAATTGATCGTAAGCCAGAAGATGTAAATATTGGTAGTTTCAAAAAGCTAAATTTAATGACGGTGCCTATTGTCCTTTGACCTTTTTCTGTTTTGCAGGGCATGGAGTGCTGTTCAGATACAGCAATCTCTTTTCATTACGTATCGCCAAACATGATGTACGTCATGGAGTACCTACTGTATCACTTGCGACCGTATGGAGTTGAACACTACATCGCTCCTTCACAACAAACTGAAGACGACACGCCTCATCAGCCGGCCACAACTTCTTCACGGTCATCATTGACTCGAAACGAAATCCGACAAGTATGGTCACTAGATGCGCCACAACGTCCCACGGCTAAAATGCAGGAGTCATCGTTGCAGTCGTCCACATCGTCAGCCACCAGGTTTAAGCAGTCTGGGGATTCGATCGGCAACGCTTTATGAGCATAAACACCGTAATAGCTATAGGAAACACAGTCAGTCGTCATATCCTGTGTGCGCTAGGATAAGTAATTTCACCTGCCGCCTTCCACTGACAGGATTCCTCCAAGTATAAGCGCAAGCGTGGGACGACTCGGCAGATGAGCAGTGCTGTGGATCTCCTATTGTAGGATCTCGCATGTAGGACCAAGCGGCCAATCACCGCTATTTCCTTGCCGACCTCAGCTTGGCATATATATATATATATATAATTTCTTTCTGGGCGGAAAGAATGTGGGCAGAATACAATGCATGCGACCGTTTCGTGTCGACTGTCAAAATATGGTAGTTCAGTAAAACTATGGTCGGCCGTTTTAATTTGTATGGCTATATATGCTTCCAACAGAAGAACAAGGAAGATGAATTACTTAATCAGAATGGGTTACCATACGTGTACAGCAAATTTCCACTAACAAATAGGCCTACAAGGAGGATGCCTACATTCAAATGAACGTTCCAGACATGAACTCATTTTACTAATTATTGATAATCGAAGCGTTATCAATAAAAGCCGATAGGGAAAATATTTCTTGAAATTAAGTAAGGTCATAAAAATAAAATAAGTATATAACACATGGGAGACTCGAACTCACCACCTTTGTATGCAGCTTTTATTAACGCTATTATCGAAGCAAATAATACTAGATAACACAAGGCATTATATGAAAGCGGAAGGGAACTAACTGCTGCTGCTGATGATGAAAACGTGTAGCTGCTACACTCGCGCACTCACACAGTGACGATGTAATGCGACTAAGATGAAGCGATAGATACCTTCCATGATGAGATAATTGAACTTACACGAAGATCAAGGATAACGATAGTCTTCTGACAGTCTACAAACTATATCGATCCTGCCAAACTGAACAGAGAGAGAAAGAGAGAGAAAAAAAAAAAGTTGTTTTTTACGTATTTTTAACGTATAATCGAGTTCCAGTACTTAATTCATTCCATTTAGCAAGACGTGACATTGATGATTCTGGTGCTCTCGGCTGGTTGGCTCGGTACTTGCAACTAGAACGTAATATTGCCTCCTCTGTAACAACGTACAATACACCACATCGAAGCGTTATATAATTTTGACTTTATTATTTATATGCCTGTGACGACGAGATGTGTTCTAGCGTGAATGAAAATCAACGAGTATTTTCGTTATTTGTTTAGATTTCGTTTGTGTTTAGCTTCTGTTCGTCGTCTGGAACTATAGTAGGTAGATCATGGTTTTCGTAAGCTTGCTTCCAGTCACACTCAATGCGTTCGAGTCTTTTAAAGGAAGCTTCAGATACTAGTTAATGAGGTGTGAGTATGAGTACCGAGATGAAGAGGTAAAAGCGCTACAAATCCTTAGATGGTCACTGGCAATTTGCATACCATTCCTGTATTTGTAAATAATATTAGGATTCATGACGTAGCAGGCTTCAGCCGAAAACAAACGTAACACGATTATTATATGTCCATATTTATATATTAACCATTATACACAGGGAGTCACAATAATGTGAGAGCACGTAATATATGGCCGTGGAACTTATCTAATCAAAAGCAATAGCTTATTAATTTAGAAAATAATATACATAAACCAGATTAAATGGATTATTTTATGTGTGAATAACTTTTTGTCTCGTCAAAAGAGAAAGTATATATTTTGAAGCTCGGATTGCCTGGTACCAATTTGTCGCAATTCATACGACATGTTGGCCGACGACGCTAATGCCAATGTACATACTATGTAGGAATGGATAGGCACGGGGAAAAAATGGCCGACAATGATAATTAATCAGTATTTATTTAAGCGTAAAGATAAATAAACTGAAGGGGTTCTCAAAAAAAAAAAGCAGAAATGCTATTTCGTCCTTATTCAACCGTCAGGTTCGTTACAACGACTACCAAAAGCTACAACCTGTTATAAGAAGCATGTAATGTAATGTAACTTTAGTATAAGGACAACGGTATTAAACAAAAATTCGCACACTCCAACCTCTCAAGAGTCAATGTAATGATATTCTAAGGACTCGCTTTAGATCGTCCGAATCCTGCTGTGTATACGTCAGCGTTCTTGCGTTGGCAGTCAATGGTGCGTTTGTAAATTCTGTGCTTCGATATATAATTCATGTTAGAAACAGAACACTGATATAATGAGCATTTATCTTTAAATATACAACAAACGCGATTGGCGGAGAAGAGAAAAATATGTAAGAGCAAGAGAATGACTCCTTAGATGTCGCTAGCACAATGTCTTCTACCAGTCGTTTCGGTTCGCTTAAAAAGTAATTGCATCTCAGCACCTATGGCTGGCACCAGCTGGCTACCGATCTTATTCTAAACTTGCGTAACTTCCAGTCAATAAGAATGCCTTAAATTCACAGCTAGAAAGGGGCAAGTTGTCGGCATGCATACGCAGCCTGTATGCGCGTACACTATTCCTGTATAACAGTCGCGTTGCACCTGCACGCGCGGAGCATCTCGTCGCGAGTAAATTCAGCTAGTCGTACCTCACTATCGTCTGTTCTTTCAAATGGTAATTTGCGGTTCACAATATTACCCCTTCAAGCAAACTAACAGCTGAATTTGCCACTGTAAATTACGTTAGATAGAATTACGATCGCATATGTCATTTGTCCTACGCATAAAAGCTCCTACGAGTCTCCGCCCCGCTGACTACTATAAATCGGTTTGTGCCAACCTCAATTTTATAGGTAGTGTGTCATGGTAAGCGCTGGTAAAGCGTTGCGAGGTAGAGTAGTGTATATTGCGATGCGCGAGAATTACTTGGCCTTAGTTTTCGTCCACACTTCTTGTGTTTCCGAATAAACTCATTGCCTTCAGACTTAATTCAGAGCCTTAGGTCGGGCTGATTCATTTATTGCTTCTTAGTTCCGGAGGAGGGGGGAGGGGGTGCGAAAAGTTTATAGCACGTAATATTGTGTCTTGCTCACATGCGGCATATGCTATTGTTATAGCAGACAAAGTAAAAACTGAGTGGAGAGGGCACCGGATCAGAGAGACGATGAGTTGCGAGATCGAAATCATCAATAGCACAACGCATTGAGTGAAACAAAGCTCAGTGAAGTACAGGGTTTTTGCATCCAATGTTTTGTACGGTCGTGATCACTGGGGTGGAGTGGAGAGGGTGGCAGCCACACTCTGATACACTTTCGAAGTTCTTCGTGTATCGGAGTTTTGTCTGTCTAGCTGACATTCCGGAACTGTTCGAGTAAGCCCAATCCCACGCGAGGCAAGGCCCGCTGGTCCGATAGATTCCGTGTTTCCGTTTCCGGCGTACTGAAAACGTAAGTCGAATTCATTTGGAGGGTGCAGAAAGATTTAATGCCGTTGACGCGCACGATATCTTGTTACCTTCGGTACCGTTCTCTTCTCGTAACAGCTGCCAAGTACAATATATGCTAAGCCTGCTGAAGTGAATCCGGTGACCAACCGGCCATAGTGATTTATGGTAAAAAAATCTTTGCATGAAACCATGTGATGATGGGGCGATGACAGGGAACGATCACAATGGGTCGGCGGATAGTGCTATTTTTTTTCGATTCAAATGGAGCACAACGTCTACCTCGTACTGAAACACACTTGACATTTTCCAATTTACAACAAGATACTGCCAAACTACTGACAATTTGGGTATTCTTTGCGACATATTGCACATGCAACTGTTTATTTTGTAGTACCTTTATGTGCTTTTAAGTTGTATGCGGTAATTTCTTAGTGGATCCAAAGGAAACTATCCTATTTTGACTGTTACAGCTTTATGGAACTTCTTAGTTGTTCTCTTCGTGATGAAAATACTTTATCGCCCTTTTGGGTTCGGGTTTACAGAAAAGCCGCATAATGTTGCAAACAATTTTGTTTTCTAAAAGCAACAAGTCGTCTCTAGCATATTCGTGTGCTCATTTTGCTTATTATTATTATAATAACAATATCCGTTCAAAATTTTCTGCCACATGTCTTGTAAAAACACTTGTATAAGTTAAAAGGGATATTATGTAATGCATAAATAGAGCACTGTTCTTCACGTAATTTTGTCTTGCTGAACGCTTAAGTAAATGTATTATTATAAGCCCGTTGAGTTCACGCGGCTGATAACTATCTATGACATATTAGTAGCATTTTATAACAAAACGTACGGGCAGAACAATTGCTTAAATAAGTACTCGTGCGCATGCGGGGGTACCCGACAATCCTCTAGAAGTTCAATCGGTTCAACCCTGTTGCCCGTTTTAGAGGTGCGATTCTAACTCTAACTCATCAGGATGCAGCTGTTTTTTGGAGCGTTGTTGGTAGATCGCATCAGAATTTTGATCCAGGGCCTTAACAGTAAACGTTCCCAAAATTCGTGAGCATCGTCCAGTCTCTACGAATATGAAACGCCTTCAGATGGCCGCGATACCGCCAGGATCGAGGGCCCAGATCTGGTGACTTCGGAATCTTCGAGTTGACATCTGATGATGAAGTTGATAGAGCTACCCATAATAATGTAAGTAAACTCATCAGAACATGCTACCGGAGGCATTTTACGGATTGATTCAGTATATTTCCCGAGCTTTTTGTGTCGTCCTAGTATGTCTAGCAAAAAAAAAAAAAAAAAAAAAAAAAAAAACATAGCCAATAAAATTGTGCACTTGAGATGTTCCATTATCGATTTAAGTAACTGGCTCCTAGCTAACGTTTAAGAACAGAGCGAGATAGCCATTATTTGCGTGTCAGTTATCGCTACATGTCGCTACCTTAATAGACTTCACATGATTTTAGAACGCCGATAGATATTCTACTCCTAGCTACTGATTGTCAGCGCTTAAATCGGCGGCTGCTGGTCTATTTTGAGTTGAGCTCGTGAATAGCTATAACTATGTCTAGGAAACGTTTAAAGTATTCAAGCTGTTACGAGGTTGGAACGATGTATTAGGTCGGACTTTATGTAAAGGTAATAATGTTACGTGTCGTTATATTTGCTTTTAGACTTTCGTCCACCGGCTCCTATTAATTCATTTATGTGAAACGCTAGCTTGCTAATCCATATAACTTGACCGCGATAGCCCTCAGTTGAAAACATACGTGCTCATTCAAAGAACATTGCATAGGTGAAAACATAGAAGAAGAGATCATCTTCTGGAAGAGCTGTTTTAAAGTTGGCAGACTGCTTTTCTGTCTTCAGAGAAAATTGAAACAGCGTGCACCTTTTTCGAAGTATTGTGAGGTCCTTAATGAAGTCACTCCCGAGTTACTTCATGCGGTGATCGCCTCGACCCTGAAAGCCCGAAGCGCTGGACCTACTCAGGAGCTTATCTTACATGGAGACTCCAGCGTGTTGTTAAAGCGTTCGGTCCCAGCACGCAAAATCAAAAAACTTGGAAAAGCCTGCCCCGCCATTAAACAGTTGGTCGGTTCTTGTACCTAATATCAATTTTGAACCTTCTCTGTAAGCATATCCTGCCGTTTTATTTAGTACTGTCTTCCTTTTTAGTTAATCAGCTTACGGAATAGGTTTATGTAGTTTTGTTTGTGATTGGTGTCCCCTTAAGGTACAACTTTTTTTCGGTGGCGACAAGAAGCATCTTGGGATTTCGCGTTTCGCAATGAAAATTCGGTCTAAATCGTTCAGTGCTTGAATAGATAACGCTATTTTGTGTTTGTTTTTCTATACCATTCTAGAAAGAAGCTCGTTAACCCTTAATACTTCCCTAAAACACGTAAACCTGTCAATTACGTTCATAAATGTAGAAGACCTGATGTCTTTGCTAGAGATTTTCCATATTTGTGAACACAGTCAAGCAGCTAGTTTGTAAGTTAGTAAGTTGACGAACTAGAATGAAAGCTTTTACAACTAGTTGTGGCAAATATGGCAGTTGTACGGCTTCCTAATTTCTAGCTTGCATATTATTTAAATAAAAATAGCTGTTATGATAACTTTGACGGAAGGCAGTAATCCGTGTATGAATAATGCACAGAGTACTGGTCCACAAGAAGAAAAGCTACCAGTAATAATAATTGTAGATTTATGGAAGAGTAGAAAGCTGCACTTTTTTTTGCGTTTGATTTTTGTGACGACAGGCGGTAGAGGACATGAACTTTTGCGCGCGCGGGCGACATCGATACGTCAGTCTCGAACATTTCCGAGCGACACTGACAATATTGTCGGTTCGTGACTTGCTTGTTGAGATGAATGCGTTTTTAAATTCAAGCCAAATCTCATCTTTTATAAATATTCGAGTCTTGGACCTTGGTGGGACCATTAACGCTTGCGGCGTGGATTCTGAATGGCCGAAAATGGACAACCTTGAAGAATTGTATCTCGAGGGAGCTCGTGGACTAAGCTCTGGAAACTTCCTAAAAAATATTCTTGTCAATTGTCCAGCTCTCAAAACAATCGACCTCGAGGGTACGGACGTCGATTCGGGTGTAATGGTTACATTAGGCTCATTTGCAGTCTACCTAGAAAATGTGTTCCTTGGTTTCACCGAGGCACGAGATGACTCGTTCTATTTACTGGGTCAGCGCAATTTGATTTTTCGATTTCTCGAAGTGTTGTGTCTAGCGGACACATCGGTGACACAATATGGTCTTAGCCAGCTTCGTCGTTATGCTCCGAAACTTCGTGAAGTAACCGTTAATCGCAACAGGGTTTCAGAGGACGCTCAGCGAGACGTTGTTCTTTCACTGCGTGTGCATAGGGTATGCAATGTACACATTGGTGCTCTGTTTCGAAATAAGGGATGTGAGCATTTCAAGATGGCTTACTCTAGAAGACATACCCCTAACGCTGCCGCTGTTACCCGAATAACAGTTCCGACGAAGTAACCTGCCTGAAAAGCAAAAAAAAAAAACTACAAGCCAAGCGCGGCTCAGCCGCTAGTTTCATTCGAGGTGCCTGTCGAGTAATACGCTGGCACATTTTGCTAATTAATATACCTATTTACTTGACTAAGTACGGTAGTACGGTTGCTTTAAAAAATCCTAGTTGCTAAAAACAAAGCTCAGCCTATCACTATACGGGTGTACATATTATAGTACGTTGACTAGTACCACAAAGAATTGCTGCTACGAAAAATGGAAGTTGCTATACTTTATTATAGCAGTCCAATACAATCATAACAATTTATTAGTACTTGAAATAAAGAAAAGTAGGAAAAACTTGTTAGAACAATATATATGGCAGCATCTGTGAACCGCTTGCGACATATCACGAGCTAGCACAGTCTTACAAGATATAGTAGACATCTCATGAAAGATATGAAGAAATTTCGTTAGTGAATACTGTATATCTGAATAGTATTTTAATATGGCTCAGCGATATTACTCCGATTGTAGAAAGCGAAACCGCATACAACCTTTTGATCCATACTTCCAAAGCTAGCTGAAAAGATTCATCTTCAAGGTAAGCAATTCCAATTCAATCATAATTATACGAAGAATTTTAAATCTGTGATTAAAAAAAAAAAAAGAGGCATTGCTAAGTGGTATATTGCTGATTGCCCTGACGAAAGGCACAGACAAATTTTTTATCATTGAGATTTATTGATCGAGCTCCAAATTTCTGCACGTACATGAAAATGGACAAATGAAAACAATATTAGCAATCTATGAAAACGACCGCAGCGTGGAAATGTCTAACGGATGTCTTTTGTTTAATATTTGAGCGGACATTTACTTTTCATAACAAACATAACTGTAAATACTAATGTTGGGATCGATGCTCCTTTGAAAGGTTCGATTTAATAAACGTTACGTTACGATGTGGCCAGCTATGATTCTTGCGTTTTTTTAACAAAATTTCTTTTGGTAATGGACCTAGTAGTCTCCTTTTATTTACTTCTTTTTTCCCATTTGAATATATATTGACCTTGGAAGTAGAATGCCCGAAGTCTAGGTCCCTGATCGGAAATTAATTATATTCCTTCTTTTTTTTTAGTTACGTTTTGCTCAGGTCTAGATTCAAACAAAAGAGGTTAAGATATTACTGAATGAACAGGCGAAGTTTCGCTTCTAGCCTCTACTTGACCCTGGGTTATGGTCGATTGCGGTTTTTAATGAACTGAAATAAATTTAAGAATACTTACTCCCTGCATTTAAATGTCCTCAAATACTCGGTTAAGTATGCCTCATATATATATATATATATATAAATTTCGACATAAAGTAGATAATCGTTTAATCACCTGATGGATTATGGTCCATCTACGGACGCTACACCTTCCTAGATAAAGATATCGATTTCAATAGCTAGTGAAAGGTCTCCATTTGCATTTCACAGCAATTACCGGCTTTTGCTTCCGCATGCGAAACGCCCGTGTCGCTGAGGTGTACAAGGCCAACTGGCATGCTACAACCTTAACATCAGCCTGCACAACTTCAGATACTTCTACGCTTGCGACGCTCATTGTGAGGAAGTCGAGTGAGATGACCCCGTGGGGCGGTAACTAAAGGTTTTTAGGTTTCATTTTCAAGAATGTACAAAGCCCAAAGCTTAGACATGAACTCCATTGTTGTTGGGGAAAGGAGAGACTGTGGCTCTTCCCTTAAGCGGTAGTATCGCCAGTTTACGTTTGCTCTAAACAAACATGTCGCACTCAGTTGGATTTACTTTCTCCGTCCAGAACCTTACTGTATTGTAGACTACTTGACAACGTATCAGCTTGACTTTGATGGCAGTCTACCCGAAAAATGCTACTAGTAAAGGCAAACGAACGTCTTCTAGAGTCTCTTCTTTGCTAACTTCTATAGTGTGAAACCGGCGATGCGAGGCGCTATGTGTTCGGTCTTGTTTCCTGTATTAAATGGCCTTTGATGAAGATTGACCTAAACTAAAAGTTACTACATGAAACTAAGTGACGTTTATTAAGTGGTGCAAGGCTATTATGTCGACGAAATCTCTTTAACAGTTTATCGTTATGCACCGTTAAATAAAGGATAGAGTAGCCCCGCTGGGTCTAGATTGGTCTTTTCTGCTTACTAGGAGTTCTACAGCATGGGAGGTTCTACTAGGGGTTTGCGACAGCATGATGTTCCTCCGGCTGGGCCAGACGTAGTTTGACGCTAGCAAACGGCCGAGTTTTTCCAACGATGACGAGCGAGGTTTCTATGCTTAGCTTAAAAGTTAACAAACAAATAAAATTCATTCATAAAAAAGGCATGAGCATTATTAGATATAAGAAATACAACAAATAAAGCACACTGTATCATTTGTAACGAAATATTAAGCCTTTTACTTGAAGCCTTAGCTTCAAAAAACTTCTTTCGTTAATGTCGAGGTTACGGCACTATAAAATCAATGTAAGCTATTGTAATAATACAATTATTTTAGGATAACGTCTCGCTGATTCGGCTGCATCCATCACCTGTTTTGACCGCGTTCGATTAACCCAAAAAACTCATTTTTTATTACAGTTCAGTGGGTTAGAGCCCGTTTTCGATGTGAAATTATGCAGGTACCTCATAATTTCAGATCGAAACGCTTTTGCTACCTTAATAATTCGAATAAGATGGACAAGTATAATATATTTACTTATAGTAAACCTGGGTGCTGACACTTGCACACTTGTACATGACTCGATATACGTCACAGCTCTCAATACTTCCTTATTCAGCTTCAAAAAGGGTCACATACGGGCTCTATTCTCAGCTCACAATATCCTCTCTAATCAAATAGCGTTCGCCATTGATTTACTGCTTCTGGTAGATCCTTCACTAATCGTATGGTCTATACGGCACGACGTACCCGTAACTGCACTCGTGTTCCAAGATTCGTGGATTCATCCTGAGTTTCCCATGACTTAGTGCAATTCACCTGCTAAAAATCCGAACGACGATATCGGAAAAAACGATATCAGACTGCAAAAAGCACAGATGCATCTTGACAATCGTTTGATTATAAAGAACGTCGTAAAACGTTGAACCGTTATAAAATAGCACCATTCTAAAACACACTAGAAATTTTTGTCGTATTTTGTATTGAGAAACCTAATGTATATATGTATACGTATTTTTGGAATATTTTCCTTCTAAATTAATTTCCCTATCTTTATCTAATAGTCGTATAGATTAGATATAATCTAGCAACAATCCCGTTGTCTCAGCGTTTACTTCCTGAGGTGTCCGATAGTACGTGGTTCAACAGAATGTCACCTTTTCCAATGGTTCTCAGCACATTTTTTTTAACGCATTTTATAGATCATCTGAATCCTACGGAGAGTCTAAAATGTAAGGCTGCATTTCCGCTATTTTTGACATTAGTGCAGTAAAGGACTCCGTAAAGCTTCAGTTCATGAGCTACACGCGCTTATTGGTAACCTTTATATTTTTTACCATTTACCCTCACCGAATCTTCGGTGCTCTCGGCGTCTTTAACGTGGAACGCTTGCCAATGAAAACGAGAAAGTCATGGATCAGCGACGGAAGTGACGTCGTAATGACGGGTGACCGATGACCGCAAGCTACACACGTACTTGCTCGCTTTTTCAGCAAAGTTCAGAAGCTTGCTACTCATAGAATGCTGATTTCTGGCTTTCTATTAGTTGGCAACTGTGTTGATGATAGGTGTTAGGAAACAAACCATGCATTCTTAGATTTGTTGGATCCAGTGCCGTCTACGTAGACGGATATCGATACGTATTACGGAAAGCTCACTCTTTTAATTTGATAGTCGGATAGCCGCCAGTGTCTTCGGATGATTCGGGCTTTGATGCAAGCCTTTGTTTCGTTGTAGCTAACTATCCACACAGTTTTCTTATTATTTCTTCTTACATACTCGACGTTGTGTAATTTTTGCATAGTTTCAACAATGAGCCATTGTAGCAGGTTATGCTATACCACTATGGGTCAACTTGATAAACAGTGGCTCCGAATGAATGGCCTTTGAGGCCGGCGGCAGTTTTTCGAGCAAAGTCGTCACTTCCTTGTAGGTATCTTTTTTGTACCTCTAAGATGAGCTCGTGTCCTTCAATATGTCTATGTTCGAACTGTCTCTTGTCTGCCTGTTGGATTATAAACCATTATACGGATTCTCTGAACAAGACCAACATCTATAGTCGTTTACGTTTGATACATTGGTAAACGTAACAGATCGCGAGTGTCAGTCTGCATGCCCGACACTGAATCATGGCGCTGAAGACGGCAAGTGGTCAGTTACGCCAAACATAAATAGTATACTGCAGTAACAGTTTGTTCTTTTGAGCTATAAACAGTTAGATTTATTGCTAGACATGCGGAGTCATCTATGTCTGATCGTTCATCCTTAGTAATCCAAGTTACTGTGTGCTGCAAACACCTCCCAAATTGGATAAAAGCGGTATTTGTTTACGAACTTGAAAACATTGACATTTTATTGAGCGTACTTATCTAAATCACCTGAACTTCTGAGCCAGTTGGACAAGACTACGTTATTTTTTCACTCTTCATAAATGATCGTAAAATTACATTTTACAGTCTATTTTTTTCCTGAATTAATTATAATAGATATACTTCTAGGTGTGTTACGTTGCGCAAGAAACATCGGTTGGCCGTTTGTCGCAGATGAGCTACTTTCAGAATTTGAGCGAGGATCAATTGTTATCCAATTTGGTCGTGCAAACTCCTACCAGCATGAAAAAAAAAAGTTTATTTTTTGCCAAAAATTAACCGTCTATGCCGTCAGTAATTTTCATGCAAGATTCGAGCTAAAGTTTTCTGAAGATCGATATAAAGGCTAAACATCATCATACCTGCATACAAAGATTTTTGCAGAAACGAAGATTATATATTGCTAGTTAAATAGTCTATATAAGATCTAACGATTAGTTTTTTTGTGGATGTTTTGTTTTTGTACCTGTCGGAGATTTTGGGCCGCTCCAAGTTTTTGCATTGTTAAGAACTGTAGTCTGTAATTTCCGGAAAATTTTTTTGTCTCCGGAATTTTTTTTCTACCTTGCACCTTTTTTTGTATCACCTTAGTGAATTTTAAACAATTGCCAATATTCGTTAATGAATGGTAAGCACCAAAAGGTTATTTATGAGCGAAAGAAGGAATTTTCTGAGAACAATTTATAAGTGGTTTCTATTTCAGATTGAAGTTGTGATATTACGGTGGATGGTGGTTATATTGAATGCCCATGACTATCACAAACTATAGTACTTCTAGCATATGCTAAATACTTCGTTACGGTATCTGTCTTTTTTTACCTATAGTCTTAAAAATAAAGCATTTTCTATATGTTTATATACATATGTACAGCTTTATGGAGTGATGTCGCTCGAGCTGAATCCAACTCAACGAGATTGCTGATTCCCGTTTTCTATTTTTTTTTGTGTCCGGAGATCGTTTACCAACAATGATTTTCTCCCATGATTGATTAAGGCAGCTTTTGTATTGTGCTCATTAAATTGTCAAGTTTTTCATCGAGCCTAGTCACTGTAGCAATATTGTTAACATGCTAAAATGTTCCTGTTCCAAAGAATAGTTAGCAGGAGTTTTTTTTTTGTTTATTATGTGAGACGAATTGCGTAATATTTCACCTTTCTGTTACGGTCCTCCTGCCGCTTTTTCAGCCAAGAACACTTCGATGCATCAAGAAAAACCGCAGTGTAAAAATAGCAGTTAGGTCTATAAATACAATGCACGTTTATCCTAACATCGGTTATGGTGCGATTGTATCCAAACGACTTCACGAAGTGTGCAAAACATCGACTCAAGAATGCTTTTATTTAACAGTTATTAAAGTATTTTATTGAAATATGCCAATTTATCACAAAAGAGGAAGGAGTCACGAGTCTCTCTTGAAAAAATCTCAGCTAAGATCCAGAATCCGATAGAGCGACATGATCCAAGTAGCCAATATGCACCTTCTCGAGTGCGTTGTCATAGTAACCATCAGTGGCAAGCATGATCCACGCTGCTGCGGTTCAAAGCTCAACGTCGGCTAAAATGATTACTAACTATAAATAAATAACACTGAAATAAGGAATGAAGCAAAAAATTGAAGAAAGTAGGCCATTTATTATTATTAAGCGCAATAGCCGCTTGTACAGTTGCAATGACGTTTCATACGCTTGTTGGAAACACCCCACCGAGACGTACTCCAATTAGCAACTAGTGTTTGACATTATACCGAAAATTGGATAATTCCAAAGATTTGTTCAAATAATACAGAATATAGAAGCAACGAAATATAGAGAAATAGCACAGTCTTTTGCACAAAGGTCTTCGAAAACAGCTCACAGCTGACCAATGGATTTGATCTTATATTGCTGGTGAAATCTATTTCTTCAAGAATCTCATTTCACCCGCTCAGACCAGTTCAAAACGCTGCAGTAAATTGATACTAACACGCTACTTCCGAAAAGCGCCGGGGGACGCTATCGTGTTGGAACATTTGAATTAGAATAACAAATGTAAGGGGTGTGTGTATCGCAGAACGAAGCATTGATAATCCTGCGCAAGATGGAATATCTTGCTTCAGAAGTAAACATAGCTTGGCGCACATCGAAGCGGTTATAATCATGTTGAAGCTACGGTAAATTTGAATAAAGTTTATGGACCTGACGCCTAGGCTGATATCTGGGCTATGTTGCTACACGCTATACTGCTAAATTTCAACATCCTGTGCGCGCAGAATACGTTAGGAAACGTGTCATGCTTTATGTTACACCAGGAAATTAACCGCATTGAAGCCAGCTGATGGCAAAAAGAGGAATTCTTCTGAATGTAAACCGCCTACGTTATTTACTCTTCTAAAGCTAACGGGCACGTCACTTCAGCACATATATATATATATATATATATATTTTGTAAGCGTTGGATAGTAGATAAAGATTTAATTTTTTCCATTTTGTTTTTAAACTTTCGCTAACTAGCCCCTAACGACTAATCCTTTGACTCGTTCTCCAACACGGAATAACTAATCATTTTCTTGTGTATTCTGGCAAATCCTTTGATCTCTAGCGAGCAGAGAGAGAGAGAGAGAGAGAGAGAGAGAGAGAGAGAGAGAAAGTTGTTTCATCGGCTCTCAATCGTCGTCCGTTAGAGGTTGTCGTTGGCTGTCTGTCCGTCCGTCCGTCTGTCCGTCCAACGAGTGTAGCGCAAGCATTATGCTGGGTCCAGTGATCGTCAGCCGTTCGTGAGTGACTCAATTCACTGGCGTCTGCCTCTGTTTCGCGCTCAAATCGCTTGTCACCTACTGCTATGACTGCCGGCACAGACCGCACCTTCTCGCCTCTCCCCCAACAGCAGCAGCGTTCGCCGCCGCAGCAGCTGTATTACTCTCGTGCAGCTCAGTCGTATCGGAGCTGTTTGACTGCCATCATCACTTTGTGGAACTCAAACAAAGATGGCGGCTCGCAGCAAGAGGTCGGCTGACGAGCGAAGATTAGCACATTTAAGGGAAATCGCCAACGAGGGCGCAAACCGCAACTGTCTAGAATGTCATCAGCGAGGTCCGACCTATGTCGACATGACCATTGGGTCATTTGTGTGCACCAAATGCTGCGGCCTCCTGTGAGTAGCAATTCAATAGTGCTTCTGCTAAATCCAGGTAGTACTGCAGGTCGCTACTGCTCATCAGTGAAATGCTTGTCGTATCAGCATAGGCTATATACTCTAATTGATCTTTCAATAATTCTCCGTTTCTTTTCACACAATATATAACACATAATCGTTTGTTTGTTGGTGGCGTTGTAGTAGCTAATGGGAAGTGATGTGAAGCTTCATGGGTGCTATCACCACTTAGAAGGCAGAAAGTGTAATTGCATGTGGATTTGGCCGTGTATCTTCCTCGGTGTGTAGATGTGTATACGTGTATGTGCATGTGTGTGTGTGTGGCCTCTGGCATATCGGTTGACTAGAACCTGCCGGATGTTGAATATCTTTCGTATCAAACGAAGCTTGTCTTCGAATATCATCAGGAAAATGCACAGACGAACGTAACCGACTGTTGTTCTTTGTCATCTAAATCTCTAATAAGGATAAGTCAATACGAACATGAACAGCAGTAGGTTTCTGTACCATTTGACAAGGAGCGTTACCTGATTCCATAGGACGCTTTGCAGCCGCTGGTCGACGACTGCCTCGCACAACCCTGTCTATCCCAGTCTATTTCCAGCACATGACCGAAATCGTTCTTTACAGTACCGTATCTTGAGTTGGTTAATATTCTAATCAATGAAACGATGCCTCTCATTGAAGTCGGAAAGGCTTCGCTTTTTTCATAGGTAGACATTAAAGTAGGTAAAGCTTGGATTGTTAGTCGTAACTACGCACACACGATTGTACTTTTCAAATAGCGAAGATAAACAGTTTTTTTTGCTACGAAAGTGGTATAGTGTTCAGCCGTTCTCGAATCTTCTCCGCAAATCTCGCAAGAATAACGTTTGTTGCTCTACATCCAAACAGTGAATCGCAATTGTCTTGGATTCGAATTCCATTTCAAAGATGACAACGCAACCCTTATAGCTCCCTAATATGTACTATTATATACAGACCTTCTAGCCGACGGTTGTTCGGTGTGTCCAGTCAACCTGAACACCGACAAAAATAACAGGATTCTGCCTGTACTTTTAGCCTGCCGTCGAGTTGCATCAAAAACTGCAATTGCGGTTGCGACTTGCTTTTCTCTCGTCGCCTGTTTCCATCGTTATTGGGGATCTCGTTCACGTTCTTCCGTTTTGATAAGGTGGTACTAAGTTGCCTGTCATTTTTTTTGGCCGGACGAAATGATGGCGCCCTCCGAAAATATTATTACCACTGCTTTAAGAGCAAAATCAATCGCTACAATTACCTATTCTCATTTATCGAGGTGGACTCTAGCAACTTTAACACTAGGTTTAGTTAATAGTCTGCAATAAATAATATCTTTTCACATTTTTGACAAATATATGTTAATTAAAAAAAACCTTTATATTGCAACGGTCGCTTTAATCTTCAGTATAAGAATCAAAGGCTACCTTGTCTTCGTGAGTAGCCTATTTTTGGAGCGTGGTTTTCAGAAAATTCCGGTCGCATCTAAATTATCAAGACTCGCTGACTTACCGCAGTAGCAAGCATTAAATAAAGCACGACATTGTCCTCAACTTCCAAAGAAGGCGCGTAACGCTTTTTTTTTTTTATCAGTATTCCAACTCCGTCAGACTTCGACAGTTATTACCTCTCGCATTGGAAAGAGCATTTTGTATCATAACATACCTTCTATCTCAATTACCGCATAAAATCAAAATTGGGCGGCAAGGATGTTTAATTGACAACCAGAGCAGAGATAAAAATGGCGCAGATAACTCTCATCGTAATCGTTGGAAGTAATCGTAGTATAACAGTAAAGGACTACAGTTACAGATTAGGAGCACAACGCTATATTCATTTATCATGAACTTTCTGTTTTGATTTTAGCCGCGGATTAAATCCGCCCCATCGCACAAAGTCGATTACGATGACGAGCTTCAGCGACGATGAGCTCGACTTTATCAAGAACCGAGGAAACGAGGTAAGCTCCTGTTTTGACTTTAAAGTTCTTCTATTTACATCCCCGAATTATAATTTTCACTTTGTTATGCGTCTACAGTGTATGGATAAAGCTTGTTTGCGACACTTTGTAACATGTTTGCGAGGGTTGATCCAATTGAAAGAGCTGTTGTAACTGTAAAATATAAAGCGGGCGCTTTATTTTGCCATTTTACTGTAAGAATAACTAATTTTTACAACTTGGCCTGACCCATAACCGTGTCTTGACTGTTACTGCTGCAAATGAATGGATGAAGCTGTCGTCCTATAAAATGTACTTGCAATGTGTGCAACTTTACTCGATTCTGTGAGCCGGGAGTAAACTAATATATTAAATGCCCAAACTTTATGTAACTGAAAAAGTATTGAGCTATTAGTTGTAGTAGCCATAAAATTCCTCTAGTACACGCGAATGTACTTTTTTTTGCTTTTATTTTTTTATTGCTGAACTTATTGCTGCCCCGCAGCCAATAAATTCAATGTTTATAGATACTTTGCAGTGAATACAAGTATCGAGATATTTATACTAGACGTTACCTCTTCCTCTTCAGATTAGGCCTGCCTCTTATCTTATTACCGAGTGTATGTGGTTTCTTCGTGTGCTTAATGTTATTTCATAATCTGTTGAGAATATAATACGTTCAGGATGCTGTTGTCCTCTAGCCATGAACTGTGTCATCAATTACTCTTGATGGCTACATCTCGATTGTGAAAAGCACACGTTTGTCACTCAGCGCACTCTCGAGCAAATCTTTAACAAACCTCAATACAGGTTGCCCTACTTATACAAAAACGCTGTAGTCAACCAAGCTCAACTGAAATCTTAAAAAATAATCGTTTCTACACAGGCAGGATATAACACTGAGACGATGGAAACAATCATGGATGATCGTCCAGGCCATATGAGATGGATATTACTTCTGGTTCGATTGATAGTGCTGCCAATTTGTCGATAGAATACGAGAACTTCAAGCGAATGTATAAACATGTTGTTTACAACGGTGTATTGTGTTTATTGTATATTTTAAAGCGATACGTAGTCTCTTTGAAAGCGAGATGATCATTTATTTATTATGTACAGTTTTTCAATCAGGCGTAAATTCTAACGCGTTCAGTAAATGGACCAAGATAAGAGTTGTTTATTCATATCCATAAAATAACCAGACTTTACGGAAACTAATTATGTCTTATTATGTTAAGATGAAATTCTGTTCTGCGAGAATAATCCTATATGTCATGGTTCCATTAACTGCTACCACATGAGCCAAACAGGATTTAAACTATTTCACCAAGCTTACCAAAGGCTGCCCGTCGACATCGTGGAAAAGGTGAACCACGACAAAATCTAAAATAGAATTCCTTTGGTGTTGAAAGATAGCAATTTAATACGGGGTTGTATAGCTGAGAGAGTATCAAAGTAAACATATATGATCAATTGCCAATGGCGGTGGCGTCGCACGTTTGCATAGCCTTGCAATGACAATCAGAACAGTCCGTTTAATACAGTTGTTTTACGTTGAACTGAATCCGTTTTCGAAGGCTTTGTTTTTGGCCAAAAATTTAGGAAATAGCTAATAATAATAATAATGTGGGATTGTTCAACGTAGCTTATCTATATTATGGCTCTATCATAATATGTACACGTATGGTCCATCTACGTTGTATGTATAATAGCGGAATATCCCTTGAGCGAGCTTACGATTTCACTAACCTTATTTACTGGACATTAAGGCGTAAGAAAGCCCTGCTTAAATTCGTTTGTATATTGCGAGTAAAAAACCCTTATTTTGTAAAATAAGACGAAAAATGTATACCGAAACGCCACGGTATTTTGAGTCTTATGGCCGCAAGCGCTTCATTAAAAAATGCACAAAGAAAACACACATGCATTGTTCGCTAAATTTTTGGCGTTACATTCATAATCTGTATGTGACGATGAGCCATCGCACACTTTAAGAGCGCCACCTATGGGCAATACAATAAACTAACAAAATATTAATTATTTATTCTATAAACACTATATATAAGGACGAATCATATCCAACGGAGATCCACAGAAGCAAGGATGACCACCAGGAGTATGCATAACCACTTAATAACTTGGGAAAAGCAGTCGCTAAGAGAAACTTAACGTAATATAGCTCTAACTGCGTTGTCATTGACGCTACGGTATTATCGCAGAATATGACAGCCTTTTGCAGCCATCAGATTATATACATATATATATATATATGGATATTAATGTTTAATTTTGCTTGCTTTTCCTAATACCTAATAGTAAATTCATGTTGCGTTAACTTTGGTAGTCGGGACCTTCGTGGTCATATTTTGAGCAATAAAATCGGTAATGGTTTTGCAAAGTGTACTACACCATATTATATATTGAGAATTTTTCAAACTGTTTTCCATCTCTGTAGATCATGTCTGTCTCAACTATATTGAACATGTATTGTATTTTCTCGTTATACCTTGCCCTCGATATCTTCTGGTTGCACCATCTGTTTAGCTTCTGAACATATTCCTTTAGGAAGTTAACTGGTCTTACCGGAACCCGAGACCCTAAACAACTTCTATTGTGATATTCAAATCCAAGCCAAGGTTCTTGCCCGGTAGCCGATGGGCATCGTTGAGCAGCTTGTCAGTCCCTTTACCTAGGTCCCTAGGTTATTTTTCAAGTCAAGAGTTCGATCAATTAGATTGCTCTGCCAGTGTCAATTTTTTTCTGCGTTCCTATATATCGCAGACAAATCTTTTTTCTCATGCATTTGTATCAACACGTTTAATTTAGAGATGAACAGTTACCAAGGTAGAAAAAAATATGTGACTCCAATTCTGTGCACTTATTTGTTCGGCCAAACCTCTGCTTGAAAGTGGTTAGGGCATGGTCGCTGCTTGGAGGCCCACCAACTACACACAAAAAAACGTTTCTGAATAAAATTATTTTTTCAAAATTCTAAACTCATTAATATCAGGTACAATTATCCTGTTTTGATGTTGTGGCCGATATGGGCTTTACCAGCAGACCTAGAAATATTGATACGCGTAGATTATGCTCGACGAGGTTGAAACCGGGAACGTAATACTTTTCTGACAATATTAATCGCTTAATACATAGAACCTATTATGATATTAACATATTAGGAATTCTAAGGTCATTTTCCAAATGCACGTAAATCCCCGCCTGCTATTTTAACTAAATTTTACGCTACATATTCGCTTGATCAGTAGAGCAACTACTACGGGACCCGACGAAGAAGGGTTTTTTGCTGCATAACCATCGTTGAAATATATTTGAGTGTATTGTACATAGAAATACAGGGACGGTTACTTCGAGCAGACCTTTACTGACTCTTATGATCGGATATCGTTCCGTTCGTGTGGTTCCGATTACGTGATCGACGGTTGGGTAGGATTTTAGTATGTTGGTGGCGATCGGTGTTGTTTTTGTGGTCGCTACATGGGGAGCGTTGTGTGGAAACGTTGGCCTTTACCCTATGAAGGCTGTTGCTGCTGTTCTCACTGGACTCCGATGGTAGGGTCGCGTTCAGTACCACTTATTTCGGTCGTCAGTTCGTACCCGATCCGTCAAAACGGAATACACGAGACGTCTATAAATTGAAGCCCATAGTGCCCATAACTGTGTAAGTGACGGCGATGCAGTTACATGTATTCGTGTGCAGATAAAATACACATACATATAATTAGAACACGGATGATGATTGCTACTGCCGAGGCAGTGTAGGACTACTGAAACAAGCAAGCTATGCTCCTGTCTGAATACGTCTTTCTCTCATAGATGTAATATTGTTTGACGACACAGATATTTCATATGCTATTGTTTGCGGACAGATGTTGAGATATAGTAGCGAAGCTTTTTTTTACTATGATAGGCATGACTACGCATCCTAAATTCTCACAGTCGGATGAGGTTTACCTATTATAGAAAACTGCCGTTTTTAAATTCAGTCAAACCAAAGTCCTGGTTTTTGCCAAATATACACATGCTTCGTTGATATTCTCTTTAAAATTGCTTGCTATTGTCGACATTGCGTCTTCGGGTATCACATTTTTGGTTTATTAGTGAAATAGAAAGCGCAACTTTAGCTATGTTTATTCTAAACGACAGATACATGCAACTGTGAGAACAAAATAGTTTAGTACCTTAATGTATATTAAATTTGTTAGTCATCTGAAATTTGAAGAGGTCTCTACGGCAGATTTGAACCCGTATATTGCCCTGTGTGATGTGTGAACTGAAGCTTCATTTTCTTTTGTTGCTATGTTGCTCTCACTCGGGCAAGTGAGGATCAATACACCAACAAGGAACTCGGCTGACCCGATTCTGAAAACGATGTTTTCATTTGGCGATGACGCAGATTGTTTCTACTGTTGAACCTATTGAAACCGTTTGATTAAGTTCACGCGATATTGAGGAACTAGAACTTACTGCAAACCGATATTTAAGACGATCGATATTGCTGATAAACGTGTTAACTATTGCCGTACGAAATCCCTAACCTACATGGTGTTTTTGTCACCCCGTGGGCTAGCCCATTCTTGGAGCGGAGGGAGATCCGATCATAACTGCATCACTTTTTGGAAACTGGGCATTTACTGGAAGAATATACAACTAAATATCTCTGTAATCTTCTTACTCAATTACATAGACTAACGTTCCAGAAGTTAGCAATAGTCGCCCGTCCTCAAGATTGCATGAGCAAATTATTTCGCGTATCCTAACTATCATATATTACTATTTTTGCGAAAGAATAGAGTAAAGGTTCGAACCCGGGTAAAGAGAGACATTCGTTTCGTGCTGGCGCGATACGGGACGTAAAACTTAAACAATATACGTTATATAAATTTGTGGTCACCTATTATATTTGTATGCGATAAAATGACGCCACAACCCCCTTTGGCACCAGCACATAGCAATATGGAAACATTATTAAGGCAAGGACAGCTTATCAGAAAGTACGTAGTTGAAACTCCTGTTGCACTGCTAAAAAAACAGTGTTTTCTTTCTGCAGCAAAGGTCAAACCTTTACATTCGTAGTTCCCCGGCAGCAACTAGTTCCTAGCAGGAGCCTGCTAGTCGCCCTACTAAACTTTCTGGCTGCTGCCGGAGCCACGAAGCCCCTGGCAACAGGCAGGCTTGGAGCTTTTTGCTCCATATGAAACGAAGCACTGTTTAGCTGTGTTGGCCAGAATAGTTCATATGGTTTCGAGGCCGTCCTGGTCTTCCCTCCACCTGGCTGGCGCCGTCTTCCGTACAACCCACGCTATCTGTCTATATGATTTACGCACGCTCCGTTTTTATTTCTAGCTGGTCTGTTTTCCGCCTTATGCGTTCCCTGTGGCTGATATTCCTCTGCAAAGATACTCCACGACTAAGATTTCCTGATTGCTCTTACAGAAGAGTATCGAATAGAGCACAGAAATGGCGGTGTATGAAATACCGATGAATTATAAATTATAAGATCAATTAATAAATTCAAACTAATGAAACACCTTATACATAAAAAAGGTATGCTAGCTATTGTTTCATAAACCCCCTCTGAGAATAGCAGGTTACTATGGCAATAGGTTTTGGTAAGATGTTGTTGTAATTGTAAACTTGGGAGTACCTTCGAATGCCTGTTCTATCCTCATACTGACATTTTAAAGCAGCTTATTTGCCCTTGCAATATTTTTTGGACAGCACGCGAACGCTCCGTATGTAGTGAGCGGCTCAACGTATACTTTGAATAGCCGAATATAGAATGTTGGGTTCTCTGGAACAAATGAGCGTAAGCCGCAATTAAAGCAACGTATTGCGCCGAGAACTATGTCTGTCATACTGTGGATAATTTTTACTCTTTGTAAAGTGAGTCCGCCAGCGGGGCGTACATAAATAGATTCTGAAGCATAATATATCGACAATCTGATCCATTGGTCTATTTTTAGAACCCGTCTAGCATGTTTTGCAACAATAAGCTGTCACAGTCTTTGTCAGTCTGTGCACAATAAATCTAACTATTTGCCAGCCATTTTATAATGAAACATTCGGCCACTGGAAAATCTTTGAATCCGCTTCACCAGTTGATCAGCGACGCCAAAGTGGAAAGGAAGAAGCCTGCAATGGGCAATTCGTTTTAACGTCGACGTAAACGCCACGTCGAAGCACTAAGGACACGGACTTCGCATTCCCAAAGGGCGGTTCCAATAGCTGCAGGTTTGTCAAGCAGCTTTGTCTTGCCTTGCAAGCAAACGGAGGGCCGGATATCAATCCATGCTTGTTGCCGTTCTCGTATACGGTCGTACAACTGATGATTTCTAGCAGTTCGTGCGCCAGTACTGTTGGTAGGCCCAGTCTTAGGTCCTTTCTTATGCTCTGTGTATTTCGATCGATTTTTCGAAAATTCATGAAAGGGGGACATCGATTTAGATTTTGAGCTTCTTCGATGAAGTATGATAAAAGTCTGTTTAGAGTCTATCTAGTGTTAAATTAGTTAATCTTAAGATGCTTGAGTATCTTTACTGATCTGATATCCAGGTCATGGACAGTGTGTTGGAGGCGGCTTTTAATAAGCAATAAAGAGTCCGATCGGTTGCAATATGTTGTTCGACAGGTATAGAAATTTAAGTACTTGTGCTTTTTCGCAATCATCTGTCGTTAAGATTCTGCGTGATTGGCTGGCAGAGCTGAGAGTGTAGTTTTGCTTTCATGAACCTAAATATGAATCGCTTTTGAGTAACCGCTTCGCAGAATGTTGTCTCCTAATTACGTGTTATCCTTCAAACGCTTCATTGATTCGTACTGTAGGTACGTAGTGTTATGTCAATTGCATTGCTTTTCTAGATATAAACCTTCTTTCAGTCTATGACCGTATTTTCCGCTTGTGGGATGCGCAGCCGTCAACTAGTTGGCTTATTAGTAAGTTTAAGTTCTCATACACGCTGTTCACGCATTTGCAATAATCTCCCTTAGAAATATTGTTTCAGCAAATTGCCTTTTACATAATCAAGTCGTTGAGGGTAGTTATGCTCATCATGCACAAGCACGGCCATGCAGTATGTAGTTATTCTAATTAGAATGCACCTCTTAGATTACCTAATTAGAATACGAACTCGCCGTTGCATAGAACGATATCGCGTGGTGCGTCGTTTCACCTCCGTAGGTAACTGCACCAGCCAATAACTGGCAGCAGAGATAACCAATATCGTTTTCTTGGTTTTCTCGGCATTTACTTGTGGCACGCCTAGCGTAATAATTAATTAATAATTAGCGCCCTTAATTAAATACGGGACAGATTTGAAGCTCCCGAGTATATTTTATTATGGTTTCTGGCTGTTCGGATGGTACCGGCATACGGTCCACGAAATCATTAGTTGCGCCATTACGAGAGAAGTAGGCGGTCACGACCTGTATTCACTGTAAAGTGTGATGTTACAAGTAATACCGTCGAACGAGACGTTAATTTTAGAACACGGTATTTTGTTTCGTACGAGTATAACAACCTCCCCCCTACGCGATATCCTGTCTTTCCAGAACACTTCATCTTGACTCAACTGAAGTTACCTGTTTTTCGGAGAGCCATGTTCTTGTTATTAAGGTGATGTCTACTTTCTTGATTTCTAAATATTGGTTGAGAATGAAATTCTAGATTAATTGAATTGCTTAATTGAAGATACAGTTTGATCTACGGTAATGTCACGTCTGTCGTCAGCTGCAAATCAGGTTGCAAGAAAAGATCAAGGCTGAATGTTCATTTAGAACTCGACAATATTGTACAGTTTCAGTATTGCTTACCCATAAATCATTGTTAGCCTTATTATCGTCAAGCGCCTTAATACAGAATCTGTTATCGCTTCTGCAAATTTTCGTATTCTTGAGCGGTATAGAGCGTACATTACCCTGCTCTATCAAGTGTTCGCAGTGCGCTTTTCGTTAATACGCTAAGGCATATCTTTTGAGGTGCTTTGAACTTTTATCCTTAGCTCTGCAGACGGCAGTCGTTTTGCAGGCTTTCTTCCTTGTTGCCTCTGTTCATGAGAAACTTTTATTTTTTTATTAACACACCCTTCTTAGGCGTGAATTTTGTCGTTCAGGTGACGTAGTGGCCAACGCATATGGCGGCGGCCGACGCTGAGGCTGTGCGCAAGGTTACGCCCTCGGCCACCAGTACGCCCAGCGTGCGTTAGCAATTGGATACAGCCTTTCTAGTCGAAATGCCTCGTTACTAACGTACCCACTTCATGTATCCATTAATCCGTTAGTTCTCGTTGTCAAGGTTCCTACGGAGCCTCGTAGCTCTTCGTTCGCTTCGTGCAGATGTTTGATTTGTTTGCGTGTAGTTCATAGATTTTCGGCGGAACTAGCATCAACCACTCGTTCAGTAGAAGCACCTGTGTGTTGATCAGCTGTGTAAGAGCTATCATCGTCCATTAAGTCGTTCATTGCACTGAAATTGACATTTGAAGATTTGAAGAGATTTATCTTAATCCTGTCACTGAGATCGATTGAGTTATATACTGTATCCAAAGTGTATCCATTCCTTGCACATAGGCAGTTTATGCCCGCCTTTCTCTTGGCGAAAAAAGAAAAATATATATATGCATGCTTGACTTTTAGGTGTTTTGCTACCTATATCTGTTGTTGCCTCTACGGTAATTTACCGTTTGTTTACCATTTCGAGGTTTTCACAAGATCTATCGACATGTTCATTCTATTCCTTCATTGCACTAGCCCTTGTTCTTTAAGCGGAGACTTACACGGATTTTTGGCCCATTAATTGTTAGAACTAGTAATTTCTATAGCGCTTTGAGGACACAACTGATTTAATGCAGAATAACTTAGTGCGCACATTGGTTTTTGATTCGTGATGTTAAATATCCCGGTTCAGCTTATCTCATTGACTAGAGCCACCTTTCGTTTATTTTTTCGATCGAAATTATGTGAAGAGGAATCGTTTGTGTGTCCTTGTTGTGTCTGTTCCTCAATATATATAAACACACTATTACTAAGGTGGTTCCTGGAGGCTTTTCTTTTTACTAAACAAACAATATATATATATATGCTATATATATATGCTATATATATGCGGTAAATCCTTCTGCAGCAAGAAAATCTGGTCACTAGGTTTTCTATGCGAACAGGTATTTTGTCACAGCTGTACGTGAGAGTATGAGGCGTTCACTTTGGCACGACTGACCTAGAGAGGAAATCATCGGTCCGGACTATGACCCCCTGTTATGGCCTCGTGCTTTCTCACAGACAGCAACAAATCATCTGATTGTTGCGATGAGTATATTAGAGTGGGCTTCATTTAAACTGAGATAATTGACAATGGTAAACAATCGTTGTTCACTTATGAAGGTTAGAATGAAAACTGACTTCCTATCCTCGTAAAAATAGAATTTCATCAATTACATTATTGTTTTCAAAGGTAAAAAATACTGTTACAACAATAAATGCCAAATAGCTCGTTATTGTGATGATGACAGCTCTAAAAAAGGCCTAAGAAATATTCATTTCTTAGGCCTTTTTAGAGCTGCACACATTTTACTTGGCTTATTTTCCTCATATAAGCATCATGGGTAACAAAGCTGGTGAAAAAGTAGAGGAGGAAAAACACCTGCACACATATTGGCACGTTAGTGTACACTGTACCTTGTCGACGAGTCTATGCAGTAAATATCGGTACCGTGATTCGCCTAATCGCCCGCCAGTGTGTAGAAGCCAACCTTATTCTCATGATCGTACCTGACATTGAAGGTTATCCGACACATGGCTATAGACAACGATTTCATCTGAATATTTTTCTTTGGGTGGAGTGCTGGCATCGACTCAATTTGATGATGGTACGAATACAATAACGACGGATGATCATGTCATAGCACGTAGCCAGCCTAAGTTTTTTATGGCATCTTTAGTAAGAGAAGAAACGAGGGGCTACTCGTGGCACTATTTAGTGCCGTCTGAAGGGCTGGGCGAATCCTTCACGAACGAGTCTGTCGTTTTAGTCTATATAGAGATATATATATATATATATATATATATATATATATATATATATATATATATATATATATATGTACGTCATTACGACTTA